AGATAAAATCGAACTAGTAAATCTCTGTGGGAACGATACTTGAACTCTAAAATCCATTTTATTACTTGAACGATCCGTACACTTGAAGTAATCAAAGTCGAACGCAATTTCGACGTGTCAAGGAGAGTGAGAGAATAGATTAAAGGGTAATTATATTAACACTAATTTTTTTTCTTACACCACATTTTAATTACACTTAATGTTCTTAATCTTTACTAATTATAATACTTATGTCCTTAACGATTTTTCATATTATTTTTATCTTCAAATTTTTCATTAGTTAACACATTTTGTATTTGATAACAGTTTTATGTTCAAAAGTTTGTTGAAATGGTGTAAAACAACATATTTTCCTTCATTTAAAAAAAATAAATTTAAATTGTGTAAAAATATTTTTCCCTCATTTCAAAACATGAAAATAAAATATTTTGATATAAATCATTATAAAAATTTAAGAAAATAATTGTTATAATAAGCAAAAATTTAGGAACCTAACTGCAATGAAGATGTGATGTGTCAAATAAAAATTGTGACGGTAATATAACCATCATAGATTAAAATGTTTTAGGGTTTGAAATTGGGTGGGATGAGTAATGTTTTAGTGGGTGGTGGGTTTGTGAATTTATTTAATTTTATAATAATATTATTAATATTTAAAAATTATAATGTAATTTGATTTTGTATAAAAAAAATTAAATTTGATTTTTGAATGTGGAAATTACACACAGAGAGTTTATAAGTTTTCATTTCAAATATAAAGTTGACATAATTTTTATTCAAAAATCAGTTGAAAATTATTTTTAAATATTAATAATATTATTTTAAAATTATATTTATCTACAAACCAAATCCCATCCCAATTTTACACCCAACCCTAATTCATTTCTCTCCATCTTTGCTCTCCACCTTCTCTCTTTATCATTTTCTATCTACTCGTGGCAGTGCTGTAGAATCGTTGCGCCGATCAGCTCCTCTTGCAGTGGTACCATGCGATCGTCAAGTGACGACAACAATGCCTCACTACTGGCAGCATCACTGCAAGCTGTGCGATTGCCGCTACATGCTTGTAGCACCGTTGCGCGTAATTGGCAGCGACTGAGGCAACATATTTGGGGATTTTTTGGTGGGGTGTGGCGGTTGTGGTATAATGGATATGGTGATTGTGATTTTTGGTACAGGAGGTAGTGGTGCTGCTTTTGCTGGCCGCGATGTTGATGGTACGATGATGGTGGCAATGCGGTGATGGTAGTGGTGGTACGTGTGTTGGTGGGGGCATTGACACTGGTGGTGGTTTTGAAGTTGAAATGGTGTTACTTTGTTGGCGTGGCAACGACATCGTGGTGTTGGTGACGGTTCATGTGGTGTTGGCATGGGCGAAGGCAAGTGGACTTTGGCGCTTTTGTGGTAGTGGATCTGGCATTGTTAGCAGCGGTGAGATGGTGGTCCCAAATAGTTGTGGTACAAGCAGCGACATCGTGGTGTTGATGGCGACGATAGTTGAATGGGACCAATAGTGTTTGTGACCAATAAATTGAGTAATTTGAAACCAATATGTAATATGTGACCTAAAAATGTGATTGCGACTCACAATTTACTAAGTTGTGACTGAGAAATAACTTGTAATCAATTAATTTGATAATTTGTGACTTATAAAAAATTTATAATTTGTGGCCGATAAATGAATTGTAACTTATACACACTTTGATTTTGTGACCGATGAATAAATTATGACCTATAATATTTTTTTTGATTTGCAATCGAGAAATAAATTGTGATTTATAAAATTTTTAATTTGTGATTGAAAAATAAATAGCGAGCTATATTTTTTTGAATTGTGATCAAGAAAAAATTATAATCAATTAATTCGAGAATTTGTGACAAAATTATATGAAATTATGACCTTAATATATTTAATTAATATAAATATATTTTTATTTAATTATTTCATAAATAAATTTTAATTAATATCTGAT